TACATGCTGAGTCTACCACAGAGAGCAAGGAACCAGCATGCACTGCTGTCCAAAGAGAGACATTCACCAACAAGTGAGAATTCGCCAAGGTCTTCAGGGATTCCTGCGCGTGTCAATGCTGTTACACAGAATCAGAAGAGTGCGAAAAAATTTAATCATCAGCGGGGTGGATGCAGCAACCCGCCGGAAAGAGAAAACCGTTTGAAGAAAATTGACGACTCCGACTGGTCCTTCCACCCAAAACGAGGAATTGAGGCTCGACATGGTTTTGACGTTTCATATCTCCGGGTCCATTCTGTACAATTATTTTTACCAAAGTGACTCAGAGGCAGCCAAAAGCATCGAGTGGGATTTCCTCATCTCCTTCTTCCTATCCCCGGCGGCTGCAGCCGTCAACACCTCGTCTCGTTCTTGGTGAGCTTGCGCCTGGCCTTCCACTCCTCCCCCCCGCCTCTTCCTAGTCGCCGTGTTCTTCCCGGCTGTCGTGCCCCCCTCCAATTGTATGACCTCCCCCTGCGGCGCCTTCCCAGTCGAGGGGGTGGCGCTATTGCTCGCGGTCGACCGAGAGCGGGTGGCCACACCCGCCTTGCCCGTCTTCGGTGAGTTGGGTCCGGCATTGACATTCAGGAATTCTCCCGGCGGCACGTTCCCATGTGAGGAGGTGGCGTCGACGACTTCTACATCGTCGTCGTTTTCCTCCTCGTCGTCGTGTCCACTTTCCTTCTCGTCGGCGCCGTCGTCAGTGTCCTCGGCCCCGTCGTTTCCAACTTCCTGCTGGTCAGCACCGTCATCAGCGTCGTCCCCCTCGTCGTCGGACGCGTCATCAATCTGGGAGTGGAATTGGTCCATCCCGTCGTCGCTGTCATTTTGCGCGTCGTGGTGTCGTCCACGAACGTACGAACACTCTTTGGTAGAACGGCTCCGTCGGTCCTTCTTCCTCAGATTAGGACGCTGTGTATTTTTGTTGGTACCGATGGTACAGAGCGGGCGAGAGGGGGGCGCAGCAGCGGGTGCTGATGGCGTGTGGATGGTGACATATCGGAATCTAGCAGGGCAGGCGAAGGGAATGTAAACTCGGGATTGGACACAAATCGCGTAAATTAATCGGGGGCAGGTGCCGTTTACGAAGAGCCTCCTACGGCGCCAAAAAGGAATGCGCAATAGATCAAACGGGCGGGCCACCCTGGTCAGTGTGATGTTGAAAAGTGTTGATACATTATACAGAACAAGGAATTGTTGAAAAGCGTCGATACGCACTAATGCTGTAGCATTAAAAGGGGGTGAACTCAATGTTTCCTACTGAACACGAAGTTCCCTTGTACACCTTGCTGGTGGGGAGGATTAAGCGTTGAGAGTGTTAGAGTTAATTGCCACGTGGAAACGGCATGCCCGAAAGCAAAATGACATGGACAAGTGGTAGGCGACAATGGGGAGTAACAGTAGTGGGACGGGAGGTGGGCGGCGCGGAATGTGTAGTAGCGACGCACAGCACTAGTACGCAGTAAAACAAGGCACGGAGATAGGACCAAAAAACGCTCGTATCTTGTTTCTGGCCTGGTGCTAGCCTTCGAAATGGAAACTATGGTACACCACCATCAGGGACTCGCGCGCATTTTGAAGTAGGTAGGGTCGCACTGTCTGCAGGGTTTACCCGAATGTACAGTGTTGCCGCTAGGTTAGGGTATTCTACCACACGTGGGTCGGAAGTGGAAACTCCGACGCCCTCGGGGATTCGATGGAGGCACGCCTTCAAAGGTTCGAGGACCATATGCAACAGGGTAACAGTTTGTCAAATATATACTATCGTCAACGACGGTATCGACCCGGGATCAGGGGAGGCTTGCAAACATCGTACCAGTTGGTCCCCAACGCTAATTTCGTCGAAAGACTTTTTTGGTTGGTGAGGAGCCTGACGTTTCCCTCCTCCTGGTGACGGTCGGCGTCTGGGATTTCCCCGGTGACCATCTTGTCATGTCTCGCCAGGAGTGTTATTACATTCTTGGCACGTCGGCGAGGGATGCGATGGCGATATCAGTGGGCAATACACATGGTTGTATAAGGGGTGAGGGGCAACGCGGAACAGACGGCATACATAGCCACGAGGCATCGCAGGGGGGGGGGTGTCATGAACGATAAAATAAAGGCATAAAGAGCAAAGCCGGAACGTGCTACTAGCCGTCATGTATGAGTGTGAAGTATACGCACAAGGGTTTCTAGAGCTCAACAGGTATACCCCCAGGCCTAGACTATTGGCCCATTTATATATGTGTAGAGTACTACAGTACACTTCAACTTTTCATCTTTTAATTGTATTTTTCGTACAACTACAAACATCCAGGGTCACACAGGAGGAGGGGGAAAACAAGTTCCTGGGCTTTTTCTTTTTTCCTTTTTCTTTTAGTGCCCCACCTGCCTCCTGCGGTTTGTTTCTAATGCGACAAGGGTCCAGCCGTCCCTTTCCCTCATCGACAATACCGTCCAAGTTTGGTTGGTATTCACGAGAACTTTTTCAGCTTTTCTCGCTTTGACCCGCAAAGTAAAAGTTGTAAATTTTTCATCCCACATGCGGATTCGAACATTAGAATTCACGACTTTGCCGCTAGCGGTTTCGAGGCTACCACTAGACCACCGGGGCGACCGGTCCATCCAGTACATTAAAGAATACTGTACGGGGGTACTTTAGTCTCTACGTCTCGTGATATGTTATTATCAGTGATTATTATTAAGAAAAATAATACAAACACAGAAATACTACCCGTTCAAGATATAACCACATGTTCATTATTACATTTAAGGGTTAGGGCTATTTTCTAAACTACCGCCGCTACTGCGTTAGGCGGCTGCTGCTGTCCTTCCGTTGCTTCACGCGCTCTGTAGCTCTCACACGTTACCCGACTTTACTACAGCCCCTGCGTGGACTCGATCACGGAATGACACCCCCAACTATAGACTAATAATTCCAAACACCGTGACCCTGGGTTTCCGATAGAAATGAAGCCAAATTCTAATTCCACTGTTACAAAATAAACACAGTATATTCTATCTGCTTCGACGAACAAACCTTCCTATTTAATTGCAAACAAACGCAAGAAGACCGTTCGAGACATAACGACAGGCAGTCGACGGGTTTTAGTCGTGGAGTTTGTAACAACATACACCTATCTATCTATTACAGTCAGTCAGTGTGTTCGTTTTATTTTGTGAGTACATTGAAAATAGCACCTGAACCTGCCGGCATAATAACTGATAAAAGTTCAGTGTTCCGCTAAATTCGACTTCAAATACGCCAGTACCGGTTTCCCTCCACTCGCTGCGAAGACTCTAACAAACACATCCCCTTCCGACTGTGGTTACATCTCGACCGCTAGTCGCTTGTCTGTGTTGGCACAATTTTTTTTCCTAATTAAGACTCTCCATCCGCACGAGTCTGCTGCTTTCACGCCCTTTGATTGGTCGAGCGTTGGTTCGAGCGGTCGATCCCTTTTTTCCAGCTTTCCTGCTTTCCAGCGCCCTCTCTCTGTTCCGCATTCATTCCGAGAACGGGGCCAAATTCGCGACCGCCATGCGAGGGTGTCATGGAAAAGACACAGTCCGACTAAAATGCGGCGACCACTGTTCCCCTCGACATTGGCCAGATAATCGGGCGTACGACTCCCGAAGCGCACGACGTTCGGGATACTCGAGGGAGGGGAGAACCCAGGCAAGGGGTGCCCCGAACAGAACTACTGTAGCAGCTGCTGAAGCCTTGAGGGTAGAATCCAAGGGTTCGACTCTATCATACGGCCGAATCTACCGAGGCCGACAGAAGAGGAACGTTCGGGGTCCCTCGTGCCATTTGGATGCTCGCAGCGGAGGTCATAGTACGGTACTGGCAAAAGGAGCAAGAAGAGAAGGCTGCCGGATGGACGGAATGTGAGAGGTGGCCGACATGAATATAATATATACCAGCATGAAAAAAACTTCTCAGCTCTTTCGTTCGAGGGTCCCGTACTTGTGCGTGATACTTTTTGCCGTACCCCCCAACCCTCACGAATACCATTTGGCAGTTCGACGGGTTTTCAGCAAAAATAACAGCAACACGCTTGCTTTTAAGGTATAGAGATTGTTCCGAAAAAAAAAAACAATTGGTCTTACGGCTTCGCGTCTGCTTCGCGCATGAGAGGCCAGGATATTCCGCGATGGATCCAAAGCGCAAGCGACTCCCTGTATTTCTTCTTCCTGTCGTCGCTGGACATACAGCGACGTCTCTCCATGTGGTGGATTGCGATAAACTTGCCGAGCCAACTGCTGTTTTCGACAAGGGAGCTATCGCGCTGCTGTGTACACAAGCAACACCAGGACAAATGCTATTCCATTCAGAATACCTACACTAACAAGACTTGGTCATTGTGCTAATATTTATCGTGAAACGGTACTCCATTGAAAGCACAAGCTAACATTTGAGTTCGCGCGGACAGCAGCCATGCCTTGTGTTGCTACGGAACAAGAAAAACGGACAAAACTACTGGGGAACGAGCGGGATGCTTCGTCTTTTCTTTCGATTCCGCAAGAAGACGACAAGAAGGTCGAGGCCAATCAAGCTTCCATGGAACACCCCGGGCGACACCATGGCGACCACGAAACAATCGTTAATCGCCTTGCAGGAGGGCGAAGGGGGAGAAGGCACCCGAAAATGGAGGCCATAACGGGTGGTATTTTTCAGAGCAAGGAACACCCGTTTGCCTGGCCTTCGAGTGCATGACCTTCGGCGTGAAACGCCAGACGTCTCCCTTATCGCTTGGACAATCAACGGAGAGGCCACGACCGTTGGTAGCAATATCACGGTGCGCCTGCAAAATGGAAGGTTCCGGTGCCTCAAGAATTAATTTACGTCATTGATTCCCCTTGCAAAAATACTGCACGCGCCAGTTCAGTTTTTCAACAAATGCAATCGTTCAGCACGATGTCGTTGCTAGCGGCTGCGTGCGTGCCGACGAGAGTCGACTCTCCCCGTCCAGGGCTTACACGCGTCCATGGCCATCACCGTCCACAGCCCGTTTGTACTGCGCGGACGCCAGGAACTTGGCCATAAGATTGTCTTCCAGCATGCTCCGAATCTCCCTCTCGGCTTTGACGAAAATCAACTTTCGCGCATCCTGTACATGGGAACGACCAAAGAACAACGACGAAAGTGATGCGGCGGTTTCGAGCAGGATCTGCACAAAGTACTATGATTGGCCGATTCTGTTCAGGTACGAACATCGTCTTCGTACTGGTCGCGGCGCTAGGGGAAAGGGGACGATAAACACGAGTTGAAGGGGCGGATGCTTCCTTGTTTATCATCTGGAAGCTTCGAAAGAGGCCCCATCGACGACGAAGGGACTTCTCCTACAGTCTTTTCACGACACATTTTCCAGACGATGTCAAACCCGGAGTTTCAGCTCAACTTCACCCATGCGAAAAGAGAAGGAAAACCCCGTTAAGGTGAACATTATCACTCTCGCTACTATATTATGTCTATCGCATGCCGCTTCCGTGCCTGTCGCTCTGTGCGAACGGTTTGATATCGTCTGCGTGCAAATCGCTTCTCTGAAAGAGCACTTTTTTACCATATATATCTACATGAATTTCTCCAACTAGCGGCCATATACCTTGTCAAGTACCGTACGTGTGAAGAGGGAGACCACCAAAAATCAAAAGCAGAAGAGGGTAAGGCAAACCGTACTGATCCCCAACCCCAAGAAACCGGTCTACGCACGAACCAAGCCAAGAAGGTGGACGGAGAGCCTTTTTGTTAGCTGTTTCAACAACAGCCTGATCATCCAAAACCGCTTCACCACACTTCCAGCAGGAATACACTACATTTCGGCTGTGACGACAAAGGCGGAGGTCCGTGTGTTGCGTAACCCCTTGTATTGTTGTATGCATGCGTACATGGGCGTTGTTTGCCACACAATCACATGGGTATTGATATTTCCTGAGTGTCCGCGGCAAGGTCAAGTCCTGACAGTACGGACGACGCCAATTCTCGAACGAAAGCTCCTCCGATTGGCGCAACAAACGCCAGACGCGGCTGGAGAAGGAAGCCATGAAACCGTTCTTGGTGTTTCTCACGCCCCCACACTCTGCAACGAGACTGCACGGAACGCTCTCTCCGTCCAGAGGCTTGCCGTGAGGACAATTGGGTGAGTACTGCTATGGCTACCCCTCACGAAGCTTGAGCAAGTCCCGAAATTATGGGATGTGGTCAACACAATTATGATTTATACGGGTCCTGGCCGAGGTACGCATTGCCCCGTGCGCTATTGCACGTGGCGCGGCGGATGCACTCCCAGACCGAAGACGTCGGAAAGAAAGATGCGATCCTTAGAAAACATGCTTGTTCCCACCAATTGCGTCCAAACCACCACTTCCGTTACTTCTAACGCAAGTGACATAAGAGAGCACACCCCCTGCACCAAATCTTCAAAGCTCGATCACTCCGAAAAAATAATCGCGGTGCCGACAATGTCGGCGTTGAAGCCGGCTGGTCGGAAACATATCGATATTTCGATTACGCATCCTCGTGGTTGTGGAGCAATGTATCGATCTTTGAAAATATATCCCGGAGTGTGATATGTAGTGTCACCGACGGTGCATTAGAGACCAAAACGGAAAGCCCGAGCACGCCGGCGCCATGCCTCCAGGCACGCCCGTTCTGGATTCTCCCTTTCATTTTGCTTCTCACCTGGTCAAGCAAGGCGAAACTTCGAACCTCCTTCCTTCTCTTTACTTCTCGCATGGCCAAGCAAGCGAAGCGAAAGTTTCGAACTTCCTTCTCTGTATATACTTCTCATGTGCTCAAGCCAAGAAAAGCTTCGAATTCCATTCATTTCTACTTCTCACCTGGTCAAGCGAGGCGAAGGCTTCGATTTTTGTCAGCTCCATGATGTTGTGCTTGGTGTTGCTGCTGATGTTGATCTCGGAAGGAGCGCCGTCCTTTACGTACTCGTTCACCATGGCGGCCACGCCCCCAACCCGCTCGTGTGTGTTGGTGCCTCCTTCTCCTCTTCGGCGCTGCCGTTGGCATCGCCGTCGACGGGGCCATCGACGATTACGCCTCTGAACTCCGAAGCATCCCGGAGAAACTGAAAAGACTGCCAATGTAGGTGTGCGCGCAGATGCACACGCATGGTGTGATGAGAAAACCGATCGATAGTTAGAGGGCGATCGAAGTGCAGATGGCAAAAAGGAGAAAACAAATGGGGTGCCAACAAGCGGACGGTGTTTCCCTGTTCACAGTAGCGGGGGGAGAGGAGTGGGGAGATACACTGAACATTGTATCATTCAGCCCAAAGGCCCCGCCTCAGCTCGGCAGGGGAGGCCCCCCTGCTGCAAGTGTCGGCAGCACATGCCCTTGTCGCTCTCTCGTGTGTGATGTGTATACGGCGGACACCAGCCACCTCGATGCCTTCGGAACGCCGCCTCGTACGCCACACCAAATCACTACTGCCACGCTTGCTGCGACCTCAACAGCTATGGTTGCAGTAGAGATAGCTTGTTCGTGAGTGCACTTGGCGGAAGACGGATAAACCGGTCTCGCTAAAGAAGATGAAGGCAACCAACCGCAGAGGAATGAAACATTCTACGTGACCCCATTTCTAGGAGGTCGGAGAATAAAAGGCGAAGCCGTAGGGCAGCCAGAAATTGCGAGCTTCCACTATTTAGCCAACGACTCTCCATGGCTCGTACACACACCACACATCGACTGACCTCGCTGCAGAGCGATTTCTGGCAGAACTCTCCGAACGCTTCACGCAGCGGGAGGTAGTTCATGATGCCGGCGAGCCGGTTCGAATCGACGTAAGACTCACGGCCGTGTTGGCTCGGATTCTGTGTAACATCCGAGATAACTTCCTCGCCGCCGATAGTTGAACTGCTCCCCCGCCTCCTCCTCGACGATAACGCCAGCAGCATCTGGACACCTTTGGGAATGCTATTTCTTCCGGCGTGACGCAGGACCTCTTGGATGGGTCTGATGTTCCTGCGCAAGCCCACAACGAAGGCGGAGGAGACAGATGTGCACGTCGCCACTCAAACACACCCTTGTCAAAGAACGGTGGTTCACGGCATGACGTATAGTCGCGACGACGGCCGGCCACACCGTAGACGTGTGCGCGCTTTGTGTTTCCCAGGGACTGACATAAATTCTTCTATCAGGACAACGTCCTAATTCATAGATCATCAGCCTTAGCCAGTAACCAAGCGCCTGCATAGCCCTGTGCATCGTGATTAGAGCCTACATAGCTCCCTATGTCTTAACACTGCAGAAGGTGGTCGGGCACAGTCTAAAATACAAAAACGAAGAAATACCAATAGCCACAACTCCGGGGGGGCACCACTACGACAGGGAGAGGGGTTACATATCCCAGAGTACGTGGAGTCGCAACGACCACGAAACATGGGGGGGCGTGTAGGACTCACAAAATCCAGACGATGGACGGGTGCGATATGGTCATGAACACGACGTTTAAGTACTTATACGCCAGGGTAGAGAACGCCGGGGTAGAGAGCCTTAGCGCGTGGATCGCCGTGAACCCAGCTGAGAAGCGATAAGTGAACAACAGGCGCCACGCAAGCAATGGTCATGGGGGGGTATCGATATCGATTGGGTAGGGTGGCAGGTGTCAGCTAACTGCGTCAGGCTTTTTGAGGGCGGCGGAAGTCTGATATCGTGTGAAATTGCGACATTCGGCGCCTCATCGACAAGTTGTTACTGTTGTGGGTAGTCATGGTACTGATGATGTGTTGTTTTTTCTTTATACGTTGAAAACTGTTCAGTTTTCTGTCCATGTACCTCCTATCATCTGTGGGCCAACTTGCGACGCTTTCCGTGTTGTCACAGACGAACTCTACCAAGGAAGGACTCAGAAGTCGACGGTAGATTCACGAACTATCAGGAAGCAACAACAAGGAGGCGGTACGCGCAGTGAATATGGTGAACGCGGGTATGACCCACCGAACAACCGCACGTAGCGGTTTTGATGCAGGGTAGGTAATTGCAGCGGTGGCTCATTTTGACAAGCTTGTGCGCCGAACAACCAAATGCTTAATAGCGGTGCTTCGGGCAGTATTCCCCAACGCAAGAACCACCAAGATGTTTCAAGCAAATGAATTTAACTACACGCGTTCAATTGAGGTCGATGCAATCACTCACGTATACATAGCAGTAGAATTATACCACCCAGGCGAATATCCCGGCCCATGTTGCTGAGGTCGTGGATCCGCTTCAACTGGCGACCGAGGCACACCACCGCCATGATAGTGATGAACGCCGAGAAAGGAGCCAGGTTCGTCATGATGGTTGCAACTCTGCGATCAGCAGGGAAGTGGGCTCTCGACGTTAGAGACAATATAGACACACTTCACGATACTCGCAGGATAGATAACTTCTCGATATTCATCTCTGCTTGAGTCTGCCTGTCTGCCTGTCCGTGTCTTCCTCTCTCTCTCTCTCTCTCTCTCTCTCTCTCTCTCTCTCTCTCTCTGTCCCTGTCTCTCTGTCTCTCTATCTACATATCTCTCCCTTCCTCTCTCTTTCTCATGCACAGACACATGATCTGTCTCCTCTCGCAGTGGAAAGCAGCACGCGTTGAAAGACGACTCCAACATGTCCGAGCAACCAAATTGCCCCAGCGTTACATGGATCGATGGAAGGATGAACAGGGTATCCCGACTGCACCGCTTCGCAAACGGTGACCTGAGTGAACATATCGTCTGGTTCATCCTGTGTGAGAAGAATCGTTGGCTTCAGTATTATGCGGATACTGAAGTCAATCGCCAAAGAAAAGCTACAAGACCTGCGAAGAGTAGGAATTACTAAAGCTGCCAGTGCCTTAGTCTCCCCAGCACCTTCACCGCTCTACAACGCCACGCTGGAGCATCTCCTCAACCTACTGCACCCCAACGAAGATCCCGAATACATTGCTGCTGCGTGGGATTCCAGCATCAAAGTTGCGGAAGATAGTAAATCAACGCACAAGATTGACTCCAACGCCGAAGTTCACGAACCGTTCAAAATCAAGGTTATCAAACACACGGGAAACAAGGCCAATCCACAGAGTGCTCCAGGGCCTGATGGTCAACGGTTTTCATATCTCCAAGCTGGTGGCATGAGCGATTATGTCTCTGAAACCTTGGCGGGCATCAGCTTTAAGGAGTTCTATATATTACGGCGACGAGCTTCCGGACCTCTGTTGGAACCTCCACACCAGTGCCAACGTTGCAGCGTTGGGAGAGAAAAAACGACCGATTGAAGTTGCAGGGGTTCTATGTCGCGTCATCCTTCGCCAGTACAAGGCAGAGATTGTCAACATCTTCGAAGGAGAAAACCAGTTTGGAGGTGGCGTTCCAGGAGGACTACAAATAGTGGCTTCTAGCAGCCCTCAGCCACAAGCAAGGCAGCACCATTCTATCCTTTGATGGGAAAATTATTACAACAGCATGCGCCGATCTTCCATCCTTCCAGCATTGGCCACCCACACGCCACACTTGGTGAAGTACTTTGGGAGCATCTACGCTCGAATCAAGGCGAAACTTCCAAATCGGAAGATGGTTCGATCGAACATGTTGTTTCACAGCGCAAGTTCAACAAGGCTGATAATTGGGAGGGTTTGGCTTCTGCTTTAGACTCCTTGATATCATGATTGATGATTGAGTTCAACAAGCCACCACTGCCAGGAATCAAACTCATCGGATACGTCGACGACCTTCAAGCAGATCTCCCACCAGGTTTGCTAGGAACATTCAGGCCATCGCCAGTGTGACGAATTGGATTCAGGAGCGTCTCTGCCAAAAAGACATTGAGCTGAGTCTCCCGAAATCTAAAGCGCTTTTCCAGAGGGTCTTTGCTAGTCCTCTTTGACAAACGACGAACAGCAAGAATTGACGAAAAGTCGCGGAAGGTGGCATGCCAGTAGTCGGAGTCCCAGTAGGGACAGAAATTTCCTGAGAAATTTCGTCTCCAACTTCGCCCGTGGTGACTCTGCGGATTTGTCACTTCGTTTAGCGGCGCTTGGCGACTCTCAAGCCAGCTATCAACTGCTGCGTTTATCTGGTGTGCCACGTTTGTTCCATCCACTGAGAACGATTGCACCTTCGATCACCAACGCCGCCGAAGAAGACATGACAACATGACGATATGGGCAACGAGTAAGATTGTCCTCGGCAAGATGGCCGACAATGTGGTAAAATCGACCGAAGGAGAAGTACGCGCAGATACGACGAAGAGTGAGGTGGATTTCCTCAAAGGGACAGCTTGGGCACAGCTACACCTTCCCATCCGTGAAGGGGGACTCGGGATCACGAGCAACGTGGGGAATCATGCTTTGTAACACGTCAAGCACTCGTGTTCTCCAAATCAGTACAAGCATCGACAGGATATACAATTCAGACATGCCTGCCCCGACATGCCCAGCTACCAACAGGATTGGCTCTGATTGCCTCCAAGAAGCTAGAGAAGATCATCACCACAGACAAGCTTGAAAAAGCTGTTGGTCAGTCATGAGGCTATACTGTCCACATGTGCTGATTTGACTCCCACGATTAAAGGAGTGTACCTGTTGGAAGCGGGTAGGCAAGCAAAACCAATGAAGTTGGCAGCCCTGACGTGGAACGTCAATCACCGTCTACATGCGGCCGAAACGAATTTGGTCAGAACTGCCAAGTCTTTGGAGCTCAAGCCGTCCTGTCGAAACCTTATCATTTATCGATGCGTCGAATGGTGAAGACAGACTCGCAGAAGGTAGGATCCAAGGACACGTCAAGGAAGAGGGCGCCGATCCGCTCGGAGGAAGGAAAAGGCAAGGGGGTTGTATTGTGGTAGACAACGCAAGGGCCTTCAGCGAATGAACGAATGCTTCCTGACCGACATCGGGAGTCAATCGGTCGTGTACTGGGGAGTCACGATTGAACTGACTGTGACACAAGCAGATATTGCGGTGCAGGTGCATTGTCGTCATGCAAGGAACGTTTGAGCCGAGCCCACTCCCTCGTCTGCACAAAGACCGGCGCCCCAACCTTCCTCCATTACAGGATGGTTCGAGTAATCCTCAAGACACTACCCGAGTGCCACATGCCAATCGCCGTTGAAGTCCCCATTTACCACAGCCACTGGTGGGGGAAAGGGGGCTCTACAAGATAAATTTAGTGGTTCCCCCTGGACTACACGCAGGGGATAAAGAAGAACTCTGCATCAAGTCCGTCCTTGTAGATGTCACAATCGTCAACCAATGTGCAAGTCGAAGCATCGACAAGTCGATCCAACCACCAGGATCCGCCCTCGAAGATCGAGCTGGAAGTAAGGCAAATCACCATGCGGGAACTTTCAGCCCGTCTAGATCTACCCTCCTCACTACTGCTTTTTCAACGAATGGTGGTGTTAGCCAAGGCACCAATCGACTAATCGTAGCTATCGTCACCACTTGGCATACGAAACCTTTCGCATGGGGAATTTGGACGACGAACAGCCTTGCTTCGCCTGAAGGCTTCTCATACCAGCATGATTCGGAGACCGTTTACCTTCGAGCTGGCTCGATTTCTGTCAGTACGAACATGTGGTGTTTTCAAACGTCATGGACTACTGATCGACCATTTTCCACTACGGCCAATCGGTTGGGATCTCAGTAGTAGTGCAGACAAAGACGATGGCGATGGCAATGGGGGGAATTCATTTGGTAGCGACGGAGGAGGAGGAAAGGGAACAGGTGAACAAGGGAACGACCAAAACAGCAATGGAGAAGGGATTCATGGCGTGGAAGAGAGCACGAGCTTCGAGCCAGATGACCTTCCCCACAACAAACGATGCAGGGCTAGAGAAGAACTGCCGAGCAATTGCTGTGAAAATGACGATGAGAGTGATCGTGGTGAAAACAAAAGGGGGAAAATGGGGAAAGCACCTCAAAACGAACTCGAGTGCAAGGTAGCAGCCTTGGTAGATACGTGCAGTTCTCCTCTGTTGCGACCGTTTCCGTCATTGATCCGGCAAATAGCTTAGCCTCCCCCATGCCGCCCCCTCACACGATCTCCCACACTACTGACAGTTTCGTTAAACCGCCCACCATGGGTCACCCATGGGCCGCTCATGGGCACTTCATGGGCCACCAATGGGCGGCCCAAGAAGTGCCCACCGTGGGCGCTTCAACCTAGACCTTCGCCACCGGCATATCAACCTAGAACTTAGCCACCGGCACATCAACCTAGAACGTAGCCACCAGCGCCAACCTAGCACATATCGTGTGAGCTTGGAGTTGGGGTTACGGTTAGCGCTAGGGTTATTAGCCACTATAGTGCCCGTTCCAAAGCAGATAATCTATTGTTTCGAGTACACTGGTTCGGTTGGAGGCCTCTCATTGGCCGCCCATGGGCTGTCCATTGGCTACCCATGGGCACCCTGATGTGCAGCCCATATTGGCTGCCCATGGGTCACCCATGGGAGCCCCATGCGTCGTTTGGGAAAACTGTAGAAAGTGCGGGAGACCCTCCCAGTTCATGTCATGTAGAAGAGTTTTGTGTTTTCAACCGCACTGAGACTGGCGTCTTTCCATTGGTCAGCCGGTTTGTGCGGTCAATGCAAGTAATAAAGACACAAAAGCGGTAAGCAGTTACACGTTGAGGGGGGCTCGCCCGACGCGGAACTTCTCACACTGTAGCCCACCCTGCTTCATTTTCACTCCCTCACCTCTCGGTTCCCTGCGCTGCAGCTGCCAACCACACCACCGTTTCCACGAAAAGGTAGGTAGCTGCTAGGCCGCAACCCCACGGCTTTTCTCTGGCCACGCTTCCGTACTTGGCTCTTGTGCTGGGGTAGTACATTACAAACAGCCGTAATGCCGTCAGAACCAACGCAAATTCGGCAATCCACAGCGCTGGGAAGCCGACGAGGTTTAAGATTCCCAAGTTTCGCCCCACCACCAAACCGTACATCGTAACTGTGTAGCGCACCGTGATGCCCAGCCCGCTGGTGCATGCCAAAATCGGAGACCTGATGGTGCAAAGAGGTTGCCGGCACACCGAAAGTTAGTGCATGCACACACATATATATGTACATCGTTCTCCGCTGTCGGTGACGTCGACACGCCGTGAAGCCGGGGTGCGGTGGAGGTCTTTGCGAATGTGCCACGGTGCAAGTTTCATAGTGCTATGGACGATAAGGTTGACTGATCTGTCGTAATTTCGCCGCACCCACCCAGAGTTTGTCAGCCAGCTCCAAGATTTGTCAACAAAGCTCGAATTGACAAACTTTGGGTCAAGAATACGATTTGTCTTTCTGTAATTGTATTTATTTATTAACAATAATTTCCCGGACACATCTTGCCGAGCTCTAACGCAAGATTTTGCGCCCAAAAAACGTGAAGCAGTAGTTACCACCACTGCCGCGTTTTCCCGCGGCCAGGATCGAGGATCGTGACTGAGTTATCGGAGTATCGCACATATGCATTATAGTAAATAGTGTTTTTTTGCATGTGAAGAGTGGCCCGTGTAGGGGTGCGCTACATGTAGTTTTTTTGCACAAAAGCTGTTTGGAGGGATCATGTGCATGTCTGTATGCGCGCAAAAAAAAAGGAACTTTATTTTGTTTTCTTTCGAATTGCTTCATTATTTCTTCGGTTTCTATGCTACGTGTTGGGGAGAGAGACGCACGAAACGCTCATCGTCTCTCCGGCCGCGTTAGCTGCGAAGGCCGGCGTCAACTCTTACAAATCCATCTCTCTCCCAAATACTAGCCGGGGGACGACGACTGCAAACGCAGGAGTCCCACAACTGATCAAGTCCTCAAATGGTACACAGCCGTATGTTTATATTGTTCTTGCTCGCGGGCGCGCCCTGTGTTGCTTGTTGCTAATTCTAGCACCCTGGGGACATGATGTGGCGATTCATCAAGGAACGCCTGGCTTCGTCGAGTGCCTATTGTCAAAGGGGCGACTTTTGGGACACCTGCTTCACGAGTCCTTCCTCGCGCAGGTGACAGAATGGGTGTTTACGTTGTACATTTTATCTGGCAGATTTCCCCTGAACACTACCAACCGAGGCCTAAAAGGTGCCATGGGCAACTTTGAGTTCTTCCCACGCCTAGGCCAGGAGTAATCTCGCTGCTACCTTTATTGTTTCCCGATTTCCGATCCATCGCTTTTCCCGCAACGCTACAAGACGCACTTGTGTATTAGCGTAGGGAAGGGGGTGCTTATCCCGATTGATACTTGCGTCGGAAGTGGGGGCTACTCATGCTTCTACTGTACCGTGAAGAGAGCAGAGAACCAACTGTGCTGTTATAGCTGGCGGTAAATACCACCCCCCTCTCCGCCCCCCCCCGGTGTTTGCCATCGGGATTTGGTTTTCGTCGCTTGGCAGCGATGTTGTAAAACAAGCCGATCACTTCGTGAGCTCGGCAACCAGGTTACCGCTTTTTTTTTTCTTCCTTTTTTGTTTTTTTTGGTACCCGCGAATGGTCGTCGAGTAGATCATGTTGTGCGGGGTCGAGTACCCTCACTCCGCGCGAGGGGGATAACCGCACGTTGTGTTAAAATGGTCAAGCATCCTCGAGGCAGTTACACAGCGCTTACAACTTTGTCTCTGGAAGTGAAAGCACCACAAAATATATTAAGCGCAGCTGTTATCCGTACGCAAGGAAGTAAGCACAAGATGCCGAACATCCCTAGCAGGATGAAGCGCACCCTTCATGCGACTCGCCGAATACCTCACGGCGCTTCGCGCTTGGTGATGTGAGAGCCTGGTCCCGTGAGAACCCGGCGTGCTCCGTCCTGACTTTGAAGGGATGCGAGGTCAATGGTCTAACGACTACGGCATGCACGGCTATGAGTACACCCCCCCCCTCTCTGGCTGACGGTGAATACCAGCCCCCTCTCTCTGTAAATGACACGGCGCCCCCACAACTCAACGTCGTCAATGCTGCTGTGTTGTGGTAAACAAGATGAGCCAATGGTAGCAAACGTAACAACGCACGAGCGTACTGCGGGTGCTTTGTTTTTTCGAAAATGAAAACAACAAATAGTCCTAGGGCCGTTTTAAACTCGTCAAAAAAATCCAAATTTATTCCAAAGCTTTTATCCACCTCTCAAGTGTTTTATTTGATTTCCGCACAGGTCCGGAGTCATCGAACGGTCCGGAGTCATCGCGCAGGGGTGCGATGCAATGGCGAAGATGTTTCAAAAACGACCGCACGCGGGTGCCCTGACTTGCAACCGGTACGCAGCAGCGACAGCCAACAAGCGCAGCTACTGGGCGCAGCTACCCATGAAAGACGGTGTTCACGGCAGTGACGAGTATGGTCTTATCAGTAGGCTAAGCGCCCCCAAACAGCTGTTGTTACCTTTCTTCTCGTGTTTCCGGTTCTGGGGGCACTTTTTTTCTCTCATGTGCGTATTATAGTAGGTGGGTTTGCGAAGTCTGCCTTGGACTTGCGGGTTGCTAAAGCTATAACGTAGAAGACAGCAGAAGGTAGGCAGACCATCGACACACAGGACGCGTCCGTCATCTTCTTGATCGTCTCTTGAGCTGCAAGATTTCCGACCCCATGACGTACAAAGACATGTCTCTTGAGCGAAGGGCTTTCGCCCCACAACCATTGCACCATTACGCATCAAATCCGCACTAACGAAATACCGTATTTCCCAAGGGTTTTGAGTTTTCCGCTCAATCACCTAACTGAGGCCATGTATCTCTACCATGACCTTTGCCTATCGCGCAGTGGACTCTACGGAGATCGCCCTTTCGCCTCACCGGAGCACCTGCGGAGCACTCTTTGTTGCTACTTGCTGCTGCTGTTGCTGCCGAACTGGTTAATCCATCTTCCCATGGGTTCCGAGAAAGGCCTACATGACGCGACGACGACCGAGCAACCGGCCGCACACACACCTAGACAAACACCAACACCCAACACCTTCATTCGGTGCTGTTGGCCGTTGTTGGTATGACTGCTGTATGCTGTACACAGACAGCCAAACCGAACATTCTCACCTTAGCACGACGAAAAAGTTCTTCCGCAAGTGCCACATGGTCGCGATGTAGCCAAGGCTGACCAAGGCATACGCCGAGGCAACGACGAGGATGACGGCATCGATCACCAACAGCGTGGTCTCCATGCAAACGGCTGCGGCTGCGGCCGCTGCCGGGGCGGCGGCGGCTGTAGCCCCGGTATACGCAGCAGGGAGCAAATCCCAGGATGAGACGATCTGGCGTGGTCCCCGTAATCCTTGCTGGCTTGCGTGACTTTTTCGCGGATACAGATCTTTCCACTGCCGTAGCTGTGGGAGGCCAAGAGAGGAAGGAGGGTAGATCACCTGCAGAGAGTACCGCGTTCTTGCCAGGGAGGGGGAGGTGCTACACTGCTGGTTAAAGTGCCGAGACACGTTTGGCCTGTGCGCCTGAGCAGTTTGCGTACTACAGCGGGGTGCCCGGTGCTTGCTGTACAGCAGGTGAAGTTTGTGGCTCTTTGCGACAAAAAACGCATCTTCCAACACTGAAAATAAATGTACTCCTATAGTGAGCATGCCGATCGATCCTGCTTCGTTGAGCAAAAAAAACGCATTAGATCGGAGGTGGAGACGCAGCCAGTACATCGATGGACAGCACCACAGCTGGGACACACGGCCAGGAGGGGCAGGTAGGATCTTGAGACTACCGTACAAAGGGGAGGAAGAGAAGGATCCATTGGCCACATGATGTAAACTTCTGTACAGCAGTAGGGATCAAGGGATCAGGGATCATTAATGCATGGTACAAACCATTTACCCAATAATTTCTGTTCTGCATGTCGAATGTCGTTGTTTAGCGGGGCAACAACAGAGCAACAGCATCACTGCCTGTAAAACCGCCGTGTAGGGGTAATTCAAAACACCACGAACACCCGTCGGGTTTCTCTGGAGAGCAGAGAGACACCTAGAGAGGCACGCTAGCAAGGCACGCGAACACAACGAAGCAGAGAGAAACCGAGCAGCAATAATTCTGACGGTTCTTGACGCAGGCCGATTTAGTGGTCTAGAATGTCATGTCCACCAATTGCGTTACCTTTTGCGCTCGAGTCGCCCGCCTAGCCCCCACCGCCGCGCGCATCTCGGCCCAGGGCAAAATTGAGAGTCGCCAGGTGATCACAGACTACGACACCTACCATTACTGTTGTTGCGATGTATCTGGCTTGGGCCCGTTGCGTAGAAATATACGTACGTGAGAGGAGCAACAAATGCGTGGTCGGCCACACGGCCGGCGACGGACAATCAACAAGTGACTAGTTATGTATGCATACAAGTATGTATGTACTTCTCGATATTTGCACTATTGCACTGAGTCCTTGGTATGCGCCCTTGGTTATATGCTGCCTGATACTTGTGGTGTCTGTATGCATACGGCTTTATCAGCAAGGGGAAATCAACGACGACATAAATGTATTCTTGCGGCAAGGAACCCTCCGTTTTGCAGGCGCAAAGCGATGTTGCTGCCAACGGTCGTGACCTCTCCGTTGATTGTCCAATCGACAAGGGATCCCTCCGGTGGTTTACACCGAAGGCCATGCAGTCGAAGGTCAGGCAAATGGATGGATGGTTCTTGCTCTGAACACTTCCACCCGTTATGGCCTCTATTCTCGGGTGCCTCCTCCCCCTTCGCCCTCTTGAAAGGCCAAGCAACGATTAACGATTATTTCTTGGCCGCCACGATGTCGCCCGGGGTGTTCCACGCAAGCGAGATTGGCCTCGACTCGCTTGTCGTCGTTCCCGCCGGAAGAAGTGAAACTCCTGTGGACGTCAGACCTTCTCCCGGGATCGAAAGAAAAGAAGGAGCAACACGCCGCTCACCCAGCCGTGCTACAGGAATACACGGAAACAAGCAGCCTACAGTAGCTTGCGTGTATCACCTCATCCATACGAAAGTGGCGTTCGAATTACAATAAATTGCATGGTAGTGCACATGCGATGCACATAATTAACAAGTGCTTCACAACAGCCAGTTCAGTTTTTCAGCAAACGCAATCGTTCAACACGATGTTGTTGCTAGTGCCTGCTTGCGTGCCGACGAGAGTCGACTCTCCCCGTGCGGGGCTTACACACGTCCATCTCCGTCACCATCCACAGCCCGTTTGTACTGTGCGGACGCCAGAAACCTGGCCATGAGGTTGTCTTCCAGGATCCTCCTGATCTCCCTCTCGGCTTTGACGAAAATCAGCTTTCGCGCATCCTGTACACGGGAAGGACGAAAGAACAACAACGAAAGTGACGCGGCGGCTTCGAGCAGAATCTGCACAAAATACTATGATTGGCCAATTTTGTCCAGGTACGAACATCGTGTTCGTACTGGTCGCGGCGCTAGGAGTAAAGGGGCGATCAATGAGAATTGAAGGGCCGGATGCTTCCTTGTTTACCCTATGGAGGCGTCGAAGAGGCCGCATCGATGGCGAAGGGACTTCTTTTACAGTCTTTTCACGACACATTTTCAACATGTTGTGAAACCCGGAGTTTCAGCTCAACTCACCCAATGTGAAAAAGAGAATGAAAGCCCCGCAAAAGTGAACAATATCAATCGGTACCATGTCTATCGCATGCCTCGTTCGTGTCTGTTGCTTCGTGCGAACGATTTGATGCCGTCCGCGTGTCAATCGCTCCTGTGGAAGAGAAGCTTTGACCATCTGTATCTACCTGGATTTCTTCAGCAAGTGGCCGTACGACGTGTCAATTACCGTATGTGAGAGGGAGATCACCAAAAATGAAGAGCAGATCAACGTGAGCCAGTCCACCTTGATCCCCAGCCCCAAGGAACCGGTCTACGCACGAACTATACTCAGTCAAGAAGGTGGGCGGAGTGCGCCTTTTTTGGTTGTGTTAACAACATCCGGACCGTCAAAAACCGCGTCGCCACACTTCCAGCAGGAATTCACTACGTTTCGGCCATTACGACAAAGGGGGAGGTCCGTGTGTTGCCAGGCCCCTACCATTGTTGTATGCATGCGTACATGGACTTTGTTTGCCACACAACCACATGGGTATTGATATTTCGATATTTCCTGAGTGTCCGCGGCAAGGTCAAGTCCTAACCGTGTGGACGACGCCAATTCTCGCACGAAAGCACCTCCGATCGGAGCAACAAACGCCAGACCCGGCGTGACAAGGAAGAAGCGCTTTGCCAGTGGTGGAGGAAGAATCCATGAAACCGTTCTTGGTTTTTGCTCACACCTCCACACTCTGCAACGAGAACACACGGAACGCTCTCTCCGTCCCACAGCTTGCCGTGGGGACAACTGGTTGGGTACTGCTGCGGCTGCCCCGCACGTAGTTTGAGCAAGTCCCAAAATGTTCGATGTTGTCAACACAATTATAATCCATAAACGCCTGGGCCTGGAAGAAGGTGCGCATTGCCCCGTGCGCTATTGCACGTGGCGCGGCGGATGCGCACCCAGGCTGAAGACGACGGAAAACAAATTGTCATCCTTAGAAAACATGCTTGTTGCCACCGATTGCCCCCAAACCGCCACTTTCGTTACTTCTACCGCAAGTGACACAAGAGAGCACATCCTGCACCAAATCTTCAAAGCTCGATCACTCCACGGTAGGAAGAATGGCGGTGCTGACAATGTCGGCGTTGGAGTCGGCTGGTCGGAAACATATCTATATTTTGATCGCGCGTCGTCGTCGTCGTGGAGAAATGTATCGATATTTGAAAATCGATCCTTGGAGTGTGATGTCCTATGTATTCGGAGGTACGTTAGAGACCAAAAAGGAAACACCGAGCACGCTGTAGCCATGCCTCCACGCACGCCCGTTCTGGATTCTACTTTCACTTTGTTTCTCACCTGGTCAAGCAAGGCGAAAGCTTCGAGCCTCCCTCCTTGTCTTCCCTTCTCACATGGTCAAGCGAAGCGAAAGAATAGAAATTCAATTCCTCTTTACTGCTCACCTGTTCAAGCGAGGCGAAGGCTTCGACCTTGGCCAACTCCATGATGGCGTGCTTGGTGTCGCTCCCGATGTTGATCTCCGAGGGAGCACCGTCCTTGATGTACTCGTTCACCATGGCGGCCACGTCCCCCAAACCGCTCGTGTGTGCTGGTGCCTCGTTCTCCTCTTCGGCGCTGCCGTTGGCATCGCCTTCGACGGGGCCTTCGACGATCACGCCTCTGAACTCCGAAGCATCCAGGAGAAACTGAAAGGACTGCGAAAGAGAGGGTGCGCAAAGACGTACAAGCATGATGTGATCAGAACGATCGATCGATAGTCAGAGGGCGATCGAAGTGCAGTTGGCCAAAAGGAGAATATACAGGGGGGCGTAACAAGCGGACGGTGGTTCCCTGTTCACGCTAGCGGGAGGTGAGGAGTGGGGAGATACACTGGACAGTGTATCATTCAGCCCAAAGGCCCCGCCGTAGCGAGAAAGCTCGGAAGGAAAGGTCCCCCTGCTGCAAGTGTCCGCAGCACACGTCTTTTCACCCTCTCGTGTATAGCGTGCGTGCGGCGGACACCAGCCACCTCGATGCCTTAGGAACGCCGCCTCGTACGCCACACAAAAAACACCTACTGCCACGTTTGCTGCGACCCCAACCGGAGAGAGCCAGAACGAACACGTGCTCGGAGCACGGCCGGTTGTATCTATCCGTGGTCTATGCCAGCTATGGTTGGAGTAGAGACGCCTTGTTCGTAAGTGCACTTGGCGGAAGGACGGATGAACCGGTCTCGCTAAAGAAGATGAAGGCAACCACCGCAGAGGAATGAACTATTCTGCGTGGCCTCGTTTCCAGGAGGTCTGAGGTTGAAGAAGAAGAGACAAGGCCGTAGGGCAGCTAGAAATTGCGAGCTTCCACTATTTAGCCAATGACTCTCCATGGCTTGTACACACACCACACATCGACTGACCTCGCTGCAGAGCGATTTCTGGCAGAACTCTCCGAACGCCTCCCGGAGCGGGAGGTAGTTCATGATGCCGGCAAGCCGGTTCGAATCGACGTAAGACTCACGGCCGTGTTGGCTCGGGTTCTGTGTAACATCCGTGGTAACTGCCTCGCCGCCGATAGGTGAACTGCTCCCCCCCCTCCTCCTCGACGATAACGCCAGCAGCATCTGGACACCTTTGGGAATGCTATTTCTTGGGGCGTGATGCAGGACCTCTTGGATGGGTCTGATGTTCCTGCGCAAGCCCACAACGAAGGAGGAGGAGGAGGAGTAGGCACATGTGCATGACGCCGCTCAGATAGACCCTTTTCAAAGGACGGCGATTGGCGGCATGACGAAAATCGCGACGACGGCCGGCCACACAGTAGACGTGTGCGCGCTCTGTGTTTTCGAGAGACTAACATGAACTCTTCTTTAGGACGTCGTCATATTGCATGGCTCTTCAGCCTTGGCCAGTAACCAAGCGCCTGTGTAGGCCCGTGCATCGTGAGCAGGGCCTACATAGCCCTCCTTGTCTTAACACCTCGGAAGGTGGTCGGGCACAGCCAAATGCGAAATCCCCGAAGAATACCTATAGCTACAACTCCGGCGTGGCACCACCACGAAAGGTAGGGGGGGGTACATATCCCGACTCTGGGCAGGCTCGCACCGACCACAACACATGGAGGGCGGTGTAGGACTCACAAAATCCAGACGATGGGCGGGTGCGATATGGTCATGAAAAGGACGCTGAAATACTTGAACGCCAGGGTGGAGAGTGGTAACACCTGGATCGCCCCGAACACGGCTGGGAAGCGGCAAACGAACAACATGCGCCACGCAAGCAACGGTCACCAGGGGGTATCAATGTCGATCGCTTGGGGTGGCAGGTGTCAGCAAAATTCGTCAAACATTTTCAGTGCGACGAAGAAAGTCTGATGTCGTGTGAAATCGCGACGATATTCGGCGAAGCCTCATGGACAAGTTGTTGTTGGTGTTGATGGTGTGCGCTATTTTGGCTTGATAGGTTCAGTTTCCTGTCCAGGTACCTTCCTGGCATCCGTGGGTAACTTTGCGACGCTTTCCGTGGTGTCACAGATGAATTCTACCAAGGAAGGACTTGAAGACGAACCACAGATTCACGCAATACTTTCAGGAGGCAACAACAAGGAGGCACGTGCGATAAATTTGGTGACAGCAGGTGTGACCCACCGAACGATCGCACGTAGCAGTCCTGATGCAGCGCAGGTACTTGTGGCGGTGGCTCGTGCATACAAGTTTGTGCGCCGGACAACCAAAAAAGACAAAACCAGTGCTCCGGGCAGTACTCCCCAAAGCAAGAACCACCACGATATTTCACGGGGGATTAGATGTACGTACGTTCACTTGACGTAGTCAATGCCACCACTCACGTAAACATATCAGCAGAATTATCCCAACCAGGCGAATATCCCGGCCCATGTTGCTGAGGTCGTGGATCCGCTTCAACTGGCGACCGAGGCACACCACCGCCATGATAGTGATGAACGCCGAGAGCGGGCCCAGGTTCGTCATGATGACTGCAACTCTTCGAAATGTCAGCGGCGGAATCGGCTCTCGACGTTAGACACAATATAGGCACATTTCAAAGGAGTTGCAAGGATATGTAGGTAGTTTCTCGATAGTGATCGCTGCCTGAGTCTGTCTGCCTGTGTGTGTGTGTCTCTCTCTCACTCTCTCTCACTCTCTCTCTCTCTCTCTCTCTCTCTCTCTCTCTGTGTGTGTGTGTGTGTGTGTGTTTGTGTGCCTCTCATCTCTGTCGCTGTCTCTGTCTGTCTGTCTGTCTGTCTGTCTCTGTTTTGCTTTCCACGTTTGCGTGACGGTTGAGGGGGGCTCGCCCGACGCGCGACTTCGAACACTGCAGCCCACCCTGCTTCATTCTCATTCCCTCACCTCTCGGTTCCCTGCGCGGCACCCGCCAACCATACCACCGTCTCCACCAAAAGGTAGGTTGCTGCCAGGCCGCAAGCCCACGGCTTTTCTCTTGTTACTCTTCCGTACTTGGCTCTTGTGCTTGGGTAGTACATGACGAATAGCCGTAATGCCGTCAGAACCAGCGCTATCTCGGCAATCCACAGCGCTGGGAAGCCGACGAGGTTTAAGATTTCCAAGTTTCGCCCCACCACCAAACCGTACATCGTAACTGTGTAGCGCACCGTGATGCCCAGCCCGCTCGTGCATGCCAAAATAGGAGACCTGATTGTGGAAAGAGGTTGCCGGATTACCGAAAACTTGGTGTATGTAGACCTTTTTTCTCCGCTTTCGGCGCCCGTGGCGTCGACACAGTGAAGCCGGGGTGCGGTGGAGGTCTCTTCGAATATGCCACGGGTCAAAATTCATAACGTTATGGGTGATAAGGTTGACTGGCCTGTTGCAATCTCGCTGGTTGTGGTACTTGGACACCAGTCCGATCTGTGCGTCCACTGTGGGGGACACGGGTATCGGAAGTTTGGTTGTGGTGGGTATGGTTGGTTGCGGTTGTGGTCCAAGCGCGGCCCTCCCCGGGAGAGCACACGATGGTGTGCTCCGGCTACTCGCCTTGGGGGTGAGCGCTCTCCTTGTAATAAATACTGGTGTGTGACCCGCTAGCCTGCATGTGTGTGATCTAATACACGAATCCTTTTTTTAATCTACCGATCCTGGGATAACTTAGCACCCCCAGTCTCGACACCAACCGCTGAAGTCGGTAGGGCCACGAACACTCGCCGCACCCACCAACATTGGTCAACCCGCTCCAAGATTTGTCCACAAAGCTCGAATTGATAAATCTCGGGTCAAGACAAGACAAAAGATTTGTTCGAAAGGGCAACTTTGGTCCCCCCGACAACTCTTGCCGACATCTGACGGAAGATATGGTGCCTATAGAAACGTGAAGCAGGCGAACCTTGGCCGCCCGCAAGATTCCACCCAACATTCTGTCCCCACAAAGAATGGGTCTTAGTGTTGGTGCGTTCTGTATACAGTACCAGAAAGAACGAACATACATGACTGCAGTACCACGCTACAGCAGTACAGCAACAACACCATTTGCTGCGTGCATACGCATTTTCCCCGCTGTCAGGATCGTGATTAAGTTTACGCAGCAGCATCGTCGGCCAACAAGCGCAGCTACTACTACTGGACGCAGCTCCCCATGAAAGACCATGTTCGCGGGAGTGACGAGTATGGTCTTGATCGATAATTCGGGTGGCTCGGTTCTTTGTGGTTGGAGCTCAAAGCGGGTGGCTCATGGCGGAGCGTGGATGGGTAGGAAACGTGTTGAAAACGTAATGCAAAAGTATTGGAAAGTATTGTATTCATCGGGGGCGTGCCAGTGCTCGTCAAACCTTCACGGTATCTGGGCACGCCTTCACTCTTTGTCACTCAACGAATCTCTCTGAATCTCCACCAAATACCTCTCGCAACCAAGGAATATATGTAGAAAGTTCCTATCCCTCCGCATCTCATCACTGTTACTTTCGTACGTACGTACCGGACATCTCAACCGTCATACTATGCTACGAGTACTCCCAATATATCTAATAGCCCCCCTACTCGTATGCATCGTCATGCTCCGAGAAAAACCAAAATGACCCGTAGTCGACCGTACCACGAAGGCACGCCTTGTCAGCAGTCCTGCTTACTTCAAAACAAAACAAACCATCAAACCAAATTCCTCTTTACCATCTCTCCAAAACAATCAAGAAAATTCTCAAAACAAACAAAAACCAATATCTTCGCGCCTGGTGTCCTCCGCTGCTTGGCGGGCTTCCGCTGCTGGGCGGGCAGAAAATTCTCAAAACAAACAAAAACCAATATCCTCCGCTACTTGGCGGGCTTCCGCTGCTTGGCGGGCAGAAAATTCTCAAAACAAACAAAAACCAATATCCTCCGCTACTTGGCGGGCTTCCGCTGCTTGGCGGGCAGAAAATTCTCAAAACAAACAAAAACCAATATCCTCCGCTACTTGGCGGGCTTCCGCTGCTTGGCAGGCAGAAAATTCTCTAAACAACAAAAACCAATATCCTCCGCTACTTGGCGGGCTTCCGCTGCTTGGCGGGCAGAAAATTCTCAAAGCTCAATTCGTCTACTTTCAGTCATACGGAGAGTTGCAGGGTGAGGCACTGCACCGATATCCCCTGATGAAGTCTGGAATGTCTTGGTTGCTCATCACTACTTCGTGAACATCCTCCTGCGCAAAGCGTGCTACCATGCTCGATCGAAAAATCAAAAGCTTCTGCTGCCTACTGTCCCCCGACTTAAACACACCATCCCAAGCAAGGCTCAATTCTTCTACTCTCAGTCATACGAAGAGTTGCGGGGTGAGACACTGCACCGATATCCCCTGAGGTTTGGAGGCGACCGGCCATGGCAGTCGCAATCGCGTCGGCCAGCTCGTCTGCGGAGGGGTTGGGTGTTGGGCGCCCAGGATCTTGCTGGTGTGCTGCCTCTTGTTCCTCATTTCCTCCCCGCTGCTGCTCGGCTCGATGCCGCACCTCCATCTCGGCCATCTTCTTGGCCAGTTTCTCCTCCATCAGCTGCTCCATCCGAGCTGCTACTACTACTCGCTCGTTGACCAGTTCTTCGATCCTGGCGTCCTCCGCTGCTTGGCGGGCTTCCGCTGCTGGGCGGGATCCATCTTCGCGCCTGGAGGCCATCTTGACCCTGCTGTCGATCGCCGCAAGGCGATGCTCCTAAACCAAGCTCGACCGCGAATCTCGTAGACGACGTGTCATATGCTAGCGTGATCGATAATTCGGGTGGCTCGGTTCTTTGTGGTTGGAGCTCAAAGCGGGTGGCTCATGGCGGAGCGTGGATGGGTAGGAAACGTGTTGAAAACGTAATGCAAAAGTATTGGAAAGTATTGTATTCATCGGGGGCGTGCCAGTGCTCGTCAAACCTTCACGGTATCTGGGCACGCCTTCACTCTTTGTCACTCAACGAATCTCTCTGAATCTCCACCAAATACCTCTCGCAACCAAGGAATATATGTAGAAAGTTCCTATCCCTCCGCATCTCATCACTGTTACTTTCGTACGTACGTACCGGACATCTCAACCGTCATACTATGCTACGAGTACTCCCAATATATCTAATAGGTCTTACCAGTAGCGCCCCCAAACCGCTGTGGCCTCCATCGTGTTTTGTGTTCTGAGGGCACATTTTTCTCCGACGTGCATGTATTATTACGTTGTTCCTCTATCACGGTTCGCACAATTTGCCCTGGACCTGCAGGGTGGCTACACAAGCCATTATTCGGCGGCCAGCTCCGAATCAGGCTGGACGTTCCCTATCATTTCGGCTCTAGACTTAACGTACAATAGAAGACAGCAGAAGATAGCCAGACCGTCGACACACAGGGCCAAGGACGTGTCCGTCTTCTTCTTGAGGGTCTCTTGAGCTGCTAGATTTTCGGTCCCATGACGTAACAGACTCAAGAGACACGTCTCCTTTGGAGCGAAGGACTTTGGCCCCACAACCATCACGCATCAAACCCACATGGTTGAAATATCTTCCCTTCCCAGAAAGGCCTAACGCGACGACCACCGAGCAACCGGTCACACACAATACTGCTGTACATACCAAACAAACATCTCACACCCAAATCTCATTCATTCGCTGTTGTTCGTTTGCTGTACAGCCCAAACCGCACACTCTCACCGCAGCACGATGAAAAAGTTCTTCCGCAAGTGCCACATGGTCGCGATATAGCCAAGGCTGATCAAGGCATATGCCGAGGCAAAGACGAGGATGACGGCATCGATCACCAACAGCGTGAGCCCCATGCAAACGGCTGCGGCTGCGGACGTTGCGACGGCGGCGGCGGCTGTAGCCTCGGTATGCTCAGCAGAGCGCAAAATCCCAGGATGAGACGAATCTGGCGTGGCCCGCCGGCTCCGGAGCCGGTACCCCCTTGGCTTGCGTGGCTTTATGCAGGGTGCAGATCTTTCCCTCTACTGCTGTAGCTGTGAAAGGCCGGGAGAGGAAGAGTAGAAGATCATCGACAGAGAGCGCAGCGTTCTTGCCAGGGACGGGGGGGTACTACACCGCTGGTTGCCGTGATGAGACACTTTTGGCCTCTGCGCCTGAGAAGTGTGCGTACTCCGCGCGGGGGTGTCACGTGTCGGTTGTGCCGCTCTGCGATGTGTTGTGAAAAAAATGCATCTTCCATCATGGCAAATTTATATGCCGATCGATCCCGCCCGCTTCGCTGAGAAAAAATATACTCCTCCGTACACGTGAGTCTGATGAATCGGAATTTTACAGTTGAAATCGGAGATGGCCGCAGCAGCCTGTACATCGATCGACAGCTGGGACACAGGACGAAGAGGGGCAGGAGAAGGATCTTGAGACTACCGCACAAAAGGGGGGGGGGTTTCAAGTATTTCCTTTCCCCACATGAACTTCTGTAAGGCAGTACAAAGGGATCACACCCTTTGTTTCTGTTCTGCATGTTACAGTCGGACTTGTCGGAGCCGTTGTCAACAACAACAACAGCAGGGAGCTAAACGACATCGCTAGGTGCCGCGCAGGGTGTTCTGTAGGGGCAGTACAGTAATTCAAACACCACGAACATTCGTAGTGTTCTGGAGAGAGACACACGCCCAGAGAGGCACGCAAGCAAGGCACGCGAACAACGAAGCAGGAATAAAACAGGGCAGCAATCATTCTCTGACAGGTGTTGACGAAACAGGACGATTATTTTTTGGTGGCCGTTACAAAACGCATACGTTACGTCACACTTCTTCGCTGCTCTTCGAGTCGCCCCCCAAACCCCCACCGCCGCGTGCATCTCATCCCAGGACAAAATAGAGAGTCACTACGTGTTCACAGACTCCGACACTCACCATTAGTCTACTGCTGTTTGTTGCGGTGTATCTGGCTTGGGCCCGTTACGTGCAATATCCATACGTAGGAGCAAGAAATAAACGTGGCGGGCGGGCGACGGACAAGCAGCAAGTGATTGACTCCTCACTATTATACTACTATTATTACAGGTTAGCGCCCGCTTTTGCGAAAACTAGTAATTTCCGGTCCACCCTCACTTTCTTTTTGTGGGCTGAAAACTCAGGGAACGTTGTCCATTTTTTCCTATGATGTGTCAAATGCATGCCCTCACGAGAGAGGCGACGAAGAGCGCCATCAAACCCGTACTATACGTACGTATAACAGAGACAACATATGTATCATCGTGGTTCGCGAAATGTGCCAGGCAACGCCCGAGCCGGCAGGGTGGGGGAGGGGGCGCCGCAAAAAAACTGCCCCCCCTCGCCTGCGAGGAGGTGTATAGCACAACATGGGAGAGGGGGCAAGAGAGAGAGAGAGCTATCTTGTAGGAGAAGTAAGTATGGGGTGTTCTTCGACACACACACTGCCCCCCGTAAACTTTCGCTCCTCCTCTCTCTGTTTTCCTATTGAGACGCGTGTCTTACATTGATTGTTATTGTGGCCCAGATTGAGATACGTATACATTTAGTTTCTTATTTTTCGTGAAAAGTTGTACTTGTTTGGTAGTAGTGTCTGTGTGTGCATACGGCTACTCTCTCTGTGTGGTGATATACTTCGTATGTATGTATTCTCATCATGGGTATTTTACTGTAATCAATTTTGTTGAATATTGACGCGTATTTACAAGTAGTGTGTAACCCAAGACCTTACCCGGCCCTACCCAACCCAACCCAACGGCGACAAATGACGAAGCGACGACGGCGCAATCGACGGCGGCGACCCAACCCAACCCAACCCAACCCCACCAAACCCGATCCCAACCCAATCCAATCCAACCGGACACGGTCGACTTCAAAATGAACGCAACACCAGAGCAAGACAAAAAAAAAAAAAACGCCTCATGCCAAGTGAACCGACGGCAACATGCAAGGCGACACTGGTGACCAACACGCCCCCAATCAAGACCTCTCCTAACGAAAGAACCACACACCATCGCGCAAAAACATGCCGCCGCAACGATGTAGATAGAAGTGACGCACTGGGGCCGAGCAACCACGAAGAAGTCCGTACGAACCAGGCCGCCCGATCGACCGACCGACTAGCCGTTCGACCCACAACCTATCCTATCCCTAACCCAACCCAAACCGTCCCCAGTACACAGCCCGACCAACCGACCGAGGGACCAAAACCACCCTACCCTACCCTGCCCTACCCTACCCGACCCCAACCCAACCCAACCTATTGCTTTACAAGTGACAGTATAGTTCCGGATCTTCGAATTGTCACCGTCAGGACACCGTCAGTGGTTCCGCCGCCGCCCCCATTGATCTCGTAGTGCGATGTGAGAAACAGACCCCTTAGGTATCATCCACACATCAGCGAGTGAGAGCAGAATATGCGTGTAGTATGTATGCATACGTATATGTCCACGGGGGCAGGCGTTCAGACCGGCGTCTTTCGTATAGCGGGGGGGGTTGAGCGGGGGTCACGGTCTCTGAGAGCTGTACATCAGTAGGAGGCCAAATTCGAGGTCCCATTCTTTCTTCGGCATGTCTAGTAGATAAATACACATACTCCAGCCCCACCGACAGGTGGGTAGCTTTCCCCCTGTGGTGGCTATTTTGCCTTCATTCCATTCGAGCACCTGCACCAGGACTCCGCCATTTTTGCGAGAAAAGCATATCTCGAAACGTCCGCCCGTTGAAAGCGCCATCCAAAATTTTGAGTTAGTGCGGACAGCAAGCCATGGCTTTTGTTGCAACGGGGGAAAGAAAGACGCACCCTGGATAAAACTGGGGAACGGGCGTGTTGCTTCCTCTTTTCTTTCGATCCCGGGGGAAGATGTCCACAGGAGTTTCTGTTGAGAAGCACTATGACCACTAGACCACGAGACCACGAGACCACTAAGACCACTAGACCACCATCGTGCTTCTCAACAAAAGCTAATGCCCGCGTCCGGTCTGGCTTTGCAGCCAGGAACACGTACCCTCAGGGTTTTCATCCCTGTAATCAACGCTGTCTTGCCGGGAGATCGCTATCGGTAGAAGAGGTTCATCGGCATATTTTGCGAAACCTATTTCCTCAGACTTTTTCTTCTCATATACCAGGCGCTTCTCAACAGGTGCCTCCAGCATAAATTTACGTGGTTGATTTCCCCTTGATGATAAACATGTTGTACGCTCCAGTTCAGTTATTCAGCAAACGCAACCGTTCAACACGATGTTGATGCTAGCGGCTGCGTGCGTGTCGACGAGAGTCGACTCTCCCCGTGCGGGGCTTACACACGTCCATGGCCGTCACCGTCCACAGCCCGTTTGTACTGTGCGGACGCCAAGAACCTGGCCATGAGATTGTCTTCCAGGATCCTCCTGATTTCCCTCTCGGCCTTGCCGAAAATCAGCCTTCGCGCATCCTGTACATGGGAAGAGAACAACGAAAGTGATGCGGCTGCTTCGAGCAGAATCTGCACAAAAAACTATGATTGGCCGTTTTCGTCCTAGGTACTGGTCGCGGCGCTAGGAGTTAGGGGGCGACAATCGGGAATTGAAGCGGCGGCTGCTTCCTTGTTTACCCTCTGGAAGTGTCCAAGAGGTGTCGGTTATGCCCCATCTACGACGAAGGGACTTCTTCTACAGTCTCTTCGCGACAGTTTTACCAGACATTGTCAAACCCGGAGCTTCTGTCAACTCCCACGATTGAAAAAGAGAATGAAACCCCGGTTGAAGTGGACATTATCTCGTTACCATGTCTATTGCATGCGCCTTCCCGGTGGTGGAGAAAGAACCCATGAAACCGTTCTTGGTGTTTCTCACGCCTCCACACTCTGCAACGAGAATACACGAAACGCTCTCTCCGTCCCGCAGCTTGCCGTGGGGACAACTGGTTGGGTACTGCTGCGGCTGCCCCGCACGCAGTTTGAGCAAGTCCCGAAATTTTCGATGTGGCCAACCCAAACATTATCCATACTGGGCCTGGTCGAGGTGTACATTGCCCCGTGCGCTATTGCACGTGGCGCGGTGGATACGCGCCCAGGCTGAAGACGCCAGAAAGAAAGTTGTGATCCTTAGAAAACATGCTTGTCCCCACCGATTGCGCCCAAACCGCCACATACGAACATGCATCCATGCTATTACCGCAAGTGACACAAGAGAGGACACCCCCTGCACCAATTTTCAAAGCTCGACTACTTCACGGCAGGAAGAATGGCGGTGCCGACAATGGCGCCGTTGGAGCCGCCTCATCGAGAGCGTTCCGAATATCTACATTTTGATTACGCGCCCTCGTCGTCGTGGCGTTATGCATCGATATTTGAAAATCGATCCCCGAAGTTTGATGTCTTGTGATACCGACCGTGCATGGAGACCAAAACGGAAAGCCGAGCACACCGGCGCCATGCCTCCACGCACGCCCTTTCGGTTTTCTCCATTATTTCTGCTTTTCGTCTGTCGTGCGAAGCGACAGCTTCGAACTTCCTTCACTTTACTTGTCATCTGGTGAAGCAAGGCGAAAGCTTCGAACTTCCCTCCTACTCTATACTTCCCACATCGTCAAGACAACAAAAAGCTTTGAGTTCCATTCATTTCTACTGCTCACCTGGTCAAGCGAGGTGAAGGCTTCGACCTTGGCCAGCTCCATGATGTCGTGCTTGGTGTCGCTGCCGATGTTGATCTCCGAGGGAGCGCCGTCCTTGATGTACTCGTTCACCATGGCGGCCACGTCCCCCAACCCGCTCGTGCGTGTTGGTGCCTCGTTCTCCTCTTCGGCGCTGCCGTTGGCATCGCCTTCGACGGGGCCTTCGACGATCACGCCTCTGAACTCCGAAGCATCCAGGAGAAACTGAAAAGACTGGGAACGAGACGGTGCGCACAGATGTACAAGCATGATGTGATCAGAAAACCGATAGATAGTCAGAGGGCGATCGAAGTGCAGATGGCAAACAGGAGGGGGTGCAAACAAGCAGCTGGTGATTCTCCTGTTTACAGTAGCGGCAGGTGAGGAGTGGGGAGATACACTGGACAGTGTATCATTCAGCCCAAAGGCCCCGCCTCGCGAGAAAGTACTCGGAAGGAGAGGCCCCCGCTGCAAGTCTCTGCAGCACACGTCTTTTCACCCTCTCGTGTGTAGCGTGCGTGAGGCGGACACCAGCCACCTCGATGCCTTCGGAACGCCGCCTCGTACGCCACACAAAAAACATTACTGCCACGCTTTCTGCGACCTCAACCGGAGAGAGCCAGAACGAACACGTGCTCGGAGCACGGCCAGTTGTATCTATCCGTGCTCCATGCCAGCTATGGTTGGAGTAGAGACGCCTTGTTCGTAAGTGCACTTGGCGGAAGGACGGATGAACCGGTCTCGCTAAAGAAGATGAGGGCAAGCACCGCAGAGGAATGAAACATTCTGCGTGGCCTCGTTTCCAGGAGGTCTGAAGTTGAAGAAGAAGAGACAAGGCCGTAGGGCAGCTAGAAATTGCGAGCTTCCACTATTTAGCCAATGACTCTCCGCGGCTTGTACACACACCACACATTGACTGACCTCGCTGCAGAACGATTTCTGGCAGAACTCTCCGAACGCCTCCCGGAGCGGGAGGTAGTTCATGATGCCGGCAAGCCGGTTCGAATCGACGTAAGACTCACGGCCGTGTTGGCTCGGGTTCTGTGTAACATCCGTGGTAACTGCCTCGCCGCCGATAGCTGAACTGCTCCCCCCCCTCCTCCTCGACGATAACGCCAGCAGCATCTGGACACCTTTGGGAATGCTATTTCTTGGGGCGTGATGCAGGACCTCTTGGATGGGTCTGATGTTCCTGCGCAAGCCCACAACGAAGGAGGACGGGGAGGGCGAGGCACATGTGCATGACGCCGCTCAGATAGACCCTTTTCAAAGGACGGCGATTGGCGGCATGACGAAAATCGCGACGACGGCCGGCCACACAGTAGACGTGTGCGCGCTCTGTGTTTTCGAGAGACTAGCATGAACTCTTCTTTAGGACGCCATTCTATTTCATAGCTCATCAGCGTTGCCCAGCAACCAAGCGCGTGTGTAGGCCCGTGCATCGTGAGCAGGGCCTACATAGCCCTCTTGGCTTAACTCCCCGGAAGGTGGCCGGGCACAGCCAAATGCGAAATCCCCGAAGAATACCTATAGCTACAACTCCGGCGTGGCACCACCACGAATTGGAGGGGGGGTGGACCCATACCCGTGCATGTCGTAGTCGTTAGACCATTGACCTGGTATCCCTACAAAGCCGGGACGGAGCACGCCGGGCTCTCACCGGACCAGGTTGTCACATCGCCAAGCGCGAAGCGCCGTGAGGTATTCGGTGAGTGGCATGGATGGTGTGCTGCATCCTGCTAAGAGTGTTCGGAATCTTGTGCTTACTTCCTTGCATACGGATGACAGCTGCGAATGACGTCATATATTTTCTGGTGCTTTCACTGCCAGTGACAGATATACGCACTGTGTAACTGCCTCCTCGAGGGTGCATGACCAATGTAGCACAACGTGGCGCGATCATACCCTTTGCGAGGAGTGATAGTTCTCGACCCCGCACAACATAATCTGCTCAAACATCATTCATGGTTACCGCAAAAAAAAAGGCAACAAAAAGCGGTAACCTGGTTGCCGAACTCACAAAGTGATCGGCTTGTGCTACAACGTCGTCGCCAAGCGACGAAAACCCAACCCCGATGGCAAACAACGGGGGGCGGAGGGGGAGCACATTTCCCAGACTACGGGAAGGTTCACAACGACCACGAAACATGGGGGGGCAGTGTAGGACTCACAAAATCCAGACGATGGCCGGGTGCGATAAGGTCATGGAAACGACGCTGAAGTACTTGAACGCCAGGGTAGAGAGCGGTAGCACCTGGATCGCCGTGAACACCGCTGGGAAGCGGCGAGTGAATAACAGGCCATCATGCAAGCAACGGTCATGGGGGGTATCGATATCGATCACGTGGCGTGGCGTGGCAGCTGCAGCTAACTCCGTCAGGCATTTTGAGGAGTGGAATTCTCATATCGTGTGAAAATGCGACGTCATTCGGGGTAGCCTCATCGTCAAGTTGGTGGTGGTGTGGATGGCGTTGTTGTTTTGACTTCATACGTTGAAAATGGTTCAGCTTTCTGTCCAGGTTCCTTCTAGCATCCGTACATGGGCCAACGATCCGACCCTTTTCGTGGTGTCACAGACGAACTCTACCAAGCAAGGACTTGAAGTCGAACAATAGATTCGCGTACTTCATGAGGCAACAACAAGGAGGCGGTACGTGTAGTCAATTTGGTAAAAGCGGGCATGACCCACCGAACGATCGCACGTGGCAGTGATCGCACAAAGCAGTCCTGATGCAGGGCAGGAACGTGCCGCCGTGGCCAACAAGTAGGTGTGCCGGACAACCAAAACCACATATCGGTGCTTCGGGCAGAGCTCCCAACACAAGAACCACCAGACTATGTTACGTTCACATGACGTCAATGTCATCACTCACGTACACATATCAGTAGAATTATCCCAACCAGGCGAATATCCCGGCCCATGTTGCTGAGGTCGTGTATCCGCTTCAACTGGCGGCCGAGGCACACCACCGCCGTGATGGTGATGAACACCGAGACAGGGTCCAGGTTCGTCATGACGGTTGCAACTCTGCGAGGTATGAAAGCGGCGGAGTTGGCTCTCGACGTTAGGCACAACGTAGACGCGCTTCACGAAACTTGCAAGGATAGATAGTTTCTCCATATCATCTCTGCCTGAGTCTGTCTGTCTGCCTGTCTGTCTGCATCTCTCTCTCTCTATCTATCTCTCTTCCTTTCTCCCTCTTCTCTCTGTCTGCTCTCTCTCATACCCTCTCTATCACTCTCTCTCTCCTCTCTCTCACGCACACGCACACGCAAGCAGCAGCAGTTACACGTACGTGTCCGTGACAACAGTTGAGGGGGGCTCGCCCGACGCGCGACTTCGAACACTGTAGCCCACCCTGCTTCATTTTCATTCCCTCACCTCTCGGTGCCCTGCACTGCACCTGCCAACCACACCACCGTTTCCACCAAAAGGTAGGTGGCTGCTATTTAGGCCGCAAGCCCACGGCTTTTCTCTTGTCACTCTTCCGTACTTGGCTCTTGTGCTTGGGTAGTACATGACAAACAGCCGTAATGCCGTCAGAATCAGCGCTATCTCGGCAATCCACAGCGCTGGGAAGCCGACGAGGTTTACGATTTCCAGTATGTTTCGCCCCAGCACCAACCCGTACATCGTAACAATGTAGCGCACGGTGATGCCGAGCCCGCTCGCGCATGCCAAACTCGGAGACCTGATTGTGCAAAGAGGTTGGCGGCACACCCAAAAAAAGGCGGTTAGTTGTACTTGAATGTAGATCGTTTTCTCCGTTGTGGCGCCCGTGACGTCCACACCGTAGTGAAGCCAGGGTGCGGTAGAGGCCTGCCACGGTGCAAGTTTCATCGCGGTATGGACGATAAGGTTGACTGACCTGTAGAAACCTCGCCGGACCCACCAACATTCGTAGGCCCGCTCCAAGAATGTCAACTACCACCTCGAAATTACAAATTTTTGGTCAAGATTTCGGTTTGTTCGGAAGAGCAACTTTGTGGTCCCCCGAAAAATCTTCATATGGGCGTCCAATGGCTGGCCCATCGGACGTCCCACGTGACCCACGCGCGCGTGGGCCGGCCCATGGGCCAGCCAATAGACGTCCCATGGGACACGCCATTGGCCGTCCTTCGTGTCCCATGGGACGGCCATTGGACGTCGCTGGGACAGCCCACGTGTCTCGCGCCAGAGGGCTATAAATTTAATCGAGATATATATACAATAGACGCGCTAACTCTCCTTGGCGTACACAAGTAGGACGGATCACGCGATGCATGCAACGGATATTTGGCAGGGCTCCCCTCAAGCATGTGTTGCCGTAATCGTGTGTTTCATGTCACCGGACTGCGATCGATTTTTAAATCATTCCTATCTTGGTTTTTTATCGCACCCCGGTGCCGTAACACCGATGTGTGCCATAACACCGATACTGGTGTGGAAATGTTATTAAAAATCATTTCGTTCTAGATTTCCTACGCACCATGACATCGATGGGTGTGATACGGAACAAATCACACTGGTCGTTTTACGGTGCTGAGTGAACGCACCCCGGTGCGATGACACCGATAGGTGCAATACTAAGAAATGACGACAGGCGTTTCCTGGTACAAGTACCGCTATTGTGCGTGATACGGTACTTAAATGAAGCGGCTGAATGCGACATTGGGGTAGCGTGTGCCAAAGACAACAGACGCTGTGGTTCCCTGTTGGGAAAGGTATACGGTACGGTGTCGATTCTTCCAACCTCTTTGTTGGTCGCAAGCCCCTCATTTGTTGGCTGATGCTTCCCTCTGTCTTTGTCGGCCTCACGGGGCATGGTACCGGTACAATTGTAGTACCGTTTACGATTTCCCTCTTGTTCGGTTGGCTGGAGGTGCGTGATCTGTGCTGTGTACTTGGTTGAGTGAGTGAGTGCATTCGATGTACGAATTACCGTAGACAAAACTTTTATCATTTCTACTCGCACACCTCGACGGTACGATGTACATACATGATAGGAATGGCGCCCCAAATGGTACCTACCGGACCTTCTCAGCCGTTCCTTAAATACAACTCGACCCGTGGCCCGGAAGGTACCGGCACCTTGCGGAAGCACGCAAACCTTCGTCCTAAGCAGGTTATATATCGTTGATGTCGCACCGGGTGGTGTTTCATACCGGTGCGGAAATGCAATTAATTCATCCCGCTCTCGATATCTTTGTGCACCCCGGTGCCATAACACCGAAGGGTGCGAAATCAACGATGGGTGTCATAGCCCGCACAATTACGGTATATCATGAACCGAATGGATGTCCCACGGGACGTCCATAAACGCCAATCTTGGCTCAACGATATATACCCCAATTTTCTGTCTCCATAGAGAAACGTGTTTTAGTGTTGATGCGTTCTGTATATAACCAGAAAGAACGAACATGAGCACGACCGATCGCATGCGTACCGCTGTCAAGATCGTGACTATTTAGTACTAGGGTTAAGGATTGGCCCCCCGCCCCCCAATGGGGCTGGGGGCCAACATCCAGGACGGATGGTGGTGAGTGTCCGGGAGGAAGGAAAGAAGAAGAAGGGGAGAAGATTTGTTGGGGCGGGAAGAAGGGACGGTGTTGGGAGAGGCAAGGAAGTGGTGAAGAATTTCGGCACTCGACGAGCGCGCGGTCCCGTCTGGGGCGAAAGGGAAATGTCAGTCCGTAGTCTTGTCTCTATCGGAATCGAAAAGCCGAAAAATCGAGGTATACATTATGTACATATCGATGGAGAAGGCGGACGAGGAAGGTACGACGAGAGGAAATTGCACCCCACGTTCGAAGTCGGTGTGAAAACCGCCGCAAGGAAGGAGTGCGGAGGGAACAAAAAAAAAACGGAGACGTCGACGTTTGCGTCGTGGAACGATCCTTCCGTATAACGCAGGTACTCACCAATGCAAGACAAAAAGAGAGGAGGTAAAATACCCATCGTGAAAGTCAAAGCGCAGGTCATAACTGCATATGACTCATGCGCGGAGAAGTTACCACGGAGACTTATCACAAGCAAGAAGTTTGAAGGCCGGCTGAGAAGGTTTGAAGCCACGAACACTTCATTCAGCGACGATGGCAAGCGCAACGTCAAAACTTCACAGGAAGAAAAGTGCATATTATAAGAAAAGTGCATACAAAAAAAGAAAAGGCCGGATGCCGACCTGTGGCTCTCTCGGAATGAAGGGATTCCCACAATTTCCAACAGGTAATCCACAAGTAAGTACGGACATATGAAGGTACTGGGTAGAGAGAGATGGGAACGATTTTTAATGTGAAGGCACAACAACAACAACAATGATGAAGGTCGACCCGTCCTGCGTCGTTCGGTGTAAAATGATAAATGCGAAAGGTGGACTGCGTAAAGATCCAGCGGTCTTTTTCGGCAGTGGCAAAGAAATATGCAACCACATGTCGCAAAAAAAAAAAGTTGAGCGGGGTACTCTAGTAAATAGAACACCGCCTTCTCTGTTGTTGCAGGCAGGTTTGCTTCCACAACCCGGGAACCCAACCCACTCTTGTATTTCGGCCTACAAGACTCCAATCGACGCAAGCACCGGTAGGAGAGTGCGTGGAAGAAGCCGTGACTGCACAACTCCACTCTCCTACGACATCTATGTACAGTAGTACTGCTGTCGTTGTAGCACCATGTGGAAGATCTCCGAGGGGTCCTCCTGCGCGGTAACGACAACATGGCGAGAGCTCTACGTGTACCTGTCGTCGACACACGTGGCAGCCGCGCGACACACGAACGGATGTTTGCATCGCACTGTACTATGGTTTGCCGTGGCAAGAAGTATCCCATCCAGTTAGGTCGTTGCGGTAGTACGCGGACGTCGTTCGGCGTCTAGTCCATACCGCTGTTGCAAAAACACAGCAGTAATCGAGCTATGCATGAAATGTTTTGCTCTGGTTCACTTTTGCCTCCACAACCCGAGAATCCCACTGCTGTATCTCGACCTACAAGACTCCAATCAACAAACCAGCACTGGCAGAAGTGCGTGGAAGATGCTGCGACAGCACAACTGAGTCGACACTCGTACGACTTCCATGTACAGTCGGCGTCTGGTCCATACTGCTGTAGAAATACAAAAATCGAGCCATCTTTTTTTTATTTCTTTCCATACTAATAACAAGAAATGTATCACGTCACGACGACCATCCTGTGAGTATATATGTAACATGATCAACAGTATATGTATTCTACTGTTGCTGCATGCAACCACGCAGTGTAGTACGAAGTAGACTTGTTTCAGGGGCTGTTTGGACCTTGTCCCCGCTTTCTTCTGGTGTGTTGGCGTTAAGATGCGGCGTAACTAGCTATTTTCCGATGACGTGTGCGTTTCCATGAAGCTGGCTGTGTGTTAACCCAATGGTCTACGTGAAACATAAATCTGGACGCATGGGCCACACGCACACACACACACACACCCGCGGGAGGGCAGTTTCGATTTCTGTCTTATATAGGAATTAGTATTGGAGGCTTCGTTCACGAAAATATGTAATTGACCCCCTATTGTAGAGGGTTTTCTATCCGCCGTGCCCCTTACTCAAATATATAGAAATTAGAGTCCCCCCCCCAAATCCCCCCCCCCCCCGAAGTCCGGAGCCCTTCGTATATACTAAAATGATTCTAGACCATTTCATACATTGCCTGCTTGTCAACACCCCTCAGAATGATTGCTGCTCTGTTTCTGCTTCGTTGTGAATTTGTGTTCGCGCGTGCCTTGCTTGCGTGCCTCACCGTGGGCGTGTTTCTCTCCTCTCCAGATTACTATTGCTGTAAGGGATGGTCGCTGTGTTTGAATGACCCCTACACAACAGTTTTCTGTGTAGTGATGTTGTTGCCCCGCTAAACAACGGCTTCGACATGCAGAATGCAGAACCAGAACAAAAAACACGGAAACGCTGTGTATGATCCCTACTGCTGTACCGACGTTTAGACTATCTATGTGGGGAAAGGAAAAACCTTTTCTTTCCCTCCTT